GAACTTTTTTCCACTCTTAGAGCAGATTGCATCAGATTCTTTGCAGTGCGCACTATCAGAAAACGTGTACAAAAAAATATGCATCTCTGACGAGCCTTATTACCTAAGATCCATACGCGGAATATTTGCGTTATTGTCCATTGTTATAACAAATTCTCCGAATAGCTCACGGCTCCCGAATTCCTTTAAATATCTCAAAGTGTGCAGAGAAACAGTGGAGAGTTAATGAAGCTAAATATTACTAATTAAGCGACTCCATGTTATTCGTGGTATTTTTCCGCGAATGCAGTTTTCCCCGGAAAGTCTGCCGACAAAAATCAAAATGTTAACAATTTCGCCATTTCTGTAATTTTCTGCACACGTTCACACATGTTGCAACATTTTTACTTGTGTTCACCTCTGAAATGCCGGTATATACCCTGTCATATGGATAGATTTATAATGTATTGTCGTGCCATGTTTTATTACCCTTCTGCAGCAATTTGCCATTCAGACAGTAAATCACATGCGGATAATAGCTAACGTCTATCACAGTACTCATCTGCCTCCTGAAGTCAAATAACTTCCATCTCCTGATATGCACATGAAGCTGTATGATTGCGACAGAGATAGGCAATCTTTTTCAAACCAATATCTATGTAAGTAGTAGAAAATTAATACAAATATGGCTGCGATGCACTAGTTCGTTCTGCTATATGTGTTCACAGGTTGAATTCTATAAGATTTGAGTTTCTCACGGAGGTGTAGGGCCGCGCCATAGCTCAAGCGGTTAGTCGCTGGCTTCCCACCGCGGCGGCCCTGGTACGATCCCGGGTCTGGTCAAGTGGGATTTGTGGTGGGCAAAGTGGCGCTGGGACAGGGTTTCTCCGAGTACTTCAGTTTCCCCTGCCAATCTTCATTGCACCAAATTTTCCATCATCATAATCACCCGGGGCAGGCTACAATAGGCCAATCAGTGGCCGCCGTGCCGAGCGGACCCAGTTGGGCTCCACAGCCCTCCTCCACACTAAGCGAATTAAAAAAATTCTCCCGGAGGTGAAGACTCACATTGTGGTATTCTGGGCTGTGAGACCGTTTAGTCTAGTAGGGAATACCAGTGTTTCGGAGGAATATGCTTCCTACATCTTCAGAATAAAAGTAACATATATGGGGTGTGCGTAATTTATAGACGGGTTTTGGACTGGATGATTGGATTCATTACACTTATGCACTAAACTCGTAACTACAATTAATTATAGCGCTATCGCTATTTCCACACTTCAAATTCACACCGAGTCTTCTTAATCTATTTTTACTAGTCTTTACTTGGTAACAGATCTTAACCATGGCTATTCCTCTGCAGTGGTTTTACTAGACGTTTCCTGGTAACGAATCTTCAGCTTCCTTTGCCCGCTGGTTAACACTCCACATATGCGCCCTCAACTGCACTGTATTCACACTCTGAACTGAACTGAACTGAACTGAACTGAACGCCGCTTTCAACACCACTTCTGTTGCTGCTTGACGTCACCGCGTACGTGCTTACCAAGTCTCTCCATAGCAACGGTTGTACGCGTCACGTATCGTGACATCTCCTCTATTGTTGCATGCGAGTATTACCTAGCAACGGCTGTTTATCTGCCTCCACAGTTCTTGCTGTGACCAAATACGCCGCAGTACCTATTTGCCAGATTATGTGGTGTCATAGCCCAGAAAACTGTAATATGTAGTCCACTGTAGTTCCTGGAAAATCAGCTGGAGACCAAATACAGTTTTAATGACAGTTCAACAACATAACGCTTCAGAAACTTTAGTGCACAACTGCTGAAAATTGAGGAGTATGTGATTATATTGTAGGATGTAGACCCGTTGCTAAGTAATGACTATGTAAACAACGGCCATTGATAGATAATGGTCGTAAATAGTAACACAGAAATGGTGTTCCCTACGCGATCCGATCGATAGCCACGTAATGCAACAATAAAAGAATTGTTTAGAGAGTGCTTTCTATGTGGTCCGTGTCGATGTGTTATAAGCAATTTATGAAGAAACCCGTGTGGAGGCGGGGTCGAATACCTCCACCGCGACCCTGCGGGTCGTAGGAGGCGACGAAAAGGGAAGTCTCAAATCTGATATAGTAAAATATAGTTCCAAGGGACTCGGACCCGAGAAAGACTGCGCTGGCAAAGGCCAGCGGCATATACAAATGACAGACCCGTCCTCTCATCAGAGAGGGCGCCCCACAAAGACAAGACCGTGTCAAACAGTAATACATATTTGGTCATGAGCCCCAGATGGGGCTCGACACCAAGACTTACTGACTGACTGACAGACCATCAGTCTTAGTGTGACTTTGACTTTGAGACAGTCGCCGCCAGTAAGGACGTGAACACGGAAGCTGAGCAAGCTACGGCGTGGGGAGCCGTTACGAGGCGACAACCGGTGAAGATACAGTATACCGAGAAGTGTTAATGCGTGCTGTAGTGAATTATAGAGTTTGTAAATTAGCGACAACGGTATGGTTACTTGTAGTTACGATCTGTAAGCGTTCAGTAAACCCAATTACCAATTCGGACCCTGTCTATAGTCATTCCGTACACGTGACAGTATTCTTTTGAACTGCACATCGAAGGCTGGATGAAACGTTCCAGTTCATCCTTGTGCCGCCATCTTGTGGTTCATTACTAGTGACTGGCAATGCTTTTCTTCTCTTGATACAGTTCCCCTTTCATGAGTCTGGTCGTTACACGCTAGGATTGTCTGTTTCCTTTTGCTAACAGTACACCTCTTTGTTCCTAATAGCTCCACATTGTTAAAACTGTCATTATGTCCACTCTGCTGAGAGCTAGTGCCTTCTACCAAATAAGACACATCTGTTAGGCTTCTCTTCAGTGCGTCAGCAAATCCAGTAGTAGTTTTGAGTGCAGTAGTACAATACGTTACAACTGTCACGAAAGTCTCTTCTTACCTAGGTCGTGTGTAGGCCCAGGCCTTGTTGGTCAGCAACTGTGTTCTTACTGTTGCAGCTTTGTATTTTACAGGCGTGATCTTGTTGAGGTATGAAAACGTACAGAATTGCAGCAAAATGAAATCATGATGGTAGACGGAACTCCTGTATAGCTAGCTTTATTTGCTTTATTGCGTGGCCTTTTGCAGTGCTGCTCATTCAAGCCTTATTCGTCGAATAGCCTCGAATTTCTTCCTCCAATTCTAGATCGATGGGGTTTGAAATTTTTAATAGTTTGGGAAGTTTTCGCTTTATTGCCGAATATCTAAACCAACTGGTTTTATACTTAAAAATTTTGTCTAATATGAGTTTTAGCTTTTCTAGTATGCCGTGGTTTACTTTATAGTCCATGCATGAAGACATAGCAGTTTGTCCCCTACACATTATTTCAGCGCCTGCAATTCAGGTTTTATACTTTTCTTTCTCTCGTATCTAAAAGTATCGGTAAAGCTAGGACATTATAAGTTGTCAGTTTAGGATCTTAAAATGATTGTACTTGTCTTAAAGAGAGTACATTGGACGAAGTTCCTCTAGAATCTGTTCCCATGTTTACGCAATTCTGTTGGTTAGTTAAGCTTCCGGATGGTTAAAATGATAGCTTCATTCCAGTGCTTGTTTAAAATAATAACATCCTGGTATATGTATGCAACACTGTGCGTTATGATGAAACATTAACGGTCAGGTGAACTTGAGCTCACCAGGAGGTTACGTGCCTTACGCATAATTGTGGAAGCAGCTAGCGGTTTGTTCAGTAAGAATGATGGAATATGTGATATACAGATGGAAATTTGAATAAACTTTGCTCTTGGTTTCTTACTAGAGGCTAGCAGGTGGAAAGACATTAACATTCAGCTGCCTGATCTTTAACTGTCACGGAAGTTTCCTTNATGCATCTCTCTTCTCCACGTGAGTGTTAATGACCAGCTGTCTGCAACGCTATTGTTGTAACTATCATGTCTGTGTCACACACACAAACACACGCAGACACACACATATGTATATATATGCCTTACATAAGCAGGGATCAACCATTACTGACTCATTTCACCAGCGGGCAAACCTTATATTCGGGAGACATTTCTGTACAAGTGTCTAAGTTCGCGATTGTAATTACTCTGCACCAGCCTACTTAAAATTACTTTAACCGTAACATGTAAAAGTAAATAGTGCGAATAAATTATAAATATTATCCCAGCTATGGTGACATAAACAAAGAACAAATAGAACGAAAAATAAACTTAAGAGTCCAGAAACATAAGTAAAACAACAACAGCAAAAAAGGCATGTAAAATACGGCCCATATATCTAACGTGTAGACCTATACAAGATGCCATTTCCTGTTCAGATTTGATGTTCGGCATTTATGTGTAAATAAATAAAGAGAGCCCAGACGAATATTAACGAAGTTTAAAGATTTTTCCATTTATCGACCTTGATTTTTCAGTCACCGCGGAAGAGCAGACGAGTTCATTTTTTGAGCCTTATATATATGTAGTCTGCATAATAAATTATTACATAAATATATAGGTTATATGCTAAGTCCTTCCGTCATATTATTTGCTTTTTTCATATTTTACCTCAAATTTTCAGGATTAACTGATCTAGTAGACGTTATGAATTTCTGAACTCTCTGGTAACAATTCAAGCTTTTCACAAATACAAACGTATAAGTGAGAGTTTGATATATTTTCGGTATTACTTTTTTAACATTGCACTGGATAAGTTTGTGGATTAATACATTTTTCTAACTTTAATATTCGTAATTTTTACTAAATCTCACACGTATTTTCTATGTAGTTTTCGATTTTTTTTGCAAAATTTCAAAACATGCGATATTATGTACCATGACTCTTATAAATTGATTTCATGCCGTCTTTGTCTCTCCTCCTGCGAATTATAGATTTCTTACACGTATTTAATCGGCTTGTATCTTATCTCCTTCCTGTAAGTTTCAGTCCTAATACTCATTGACTTCGATCTTTAAGTGTGCTTTATTAATTTGAGGCCCGCTTACCTGGATAGCTGTCAGCATTAGACCTGAACAACACGCAGAGGCCCGTCTCATAGTTCACGGAGTGGCACGAGTCGTTGCCCTGACACGCCTCCAGGCAGTCTGTGAGCATCAATGTTCCTGGAAGTGAGTCCAACAGGTCTGACGGCGCTGAGTACACGAAACCAGTGACTAGTTCAAAACCAATCATGTCCGGATCACATTCTTCTACACCTGATGGTCCTGTATATCCTAGTGCACTCGGACCACTGGGTCCACTTGCTGAGGGTGCAGATGGCTCAGCAGAGGCTGAGGATATTTCGGGTATGCTGTTTGCAGACTCTGAGGATGTTGAGATATCATCAGCTCTTACAACTTGACATCCAATGGCCGCTGCTACTAATAATAGGCTTAGAAACCGCCATGTGCCCATTGTAGCTTAGTGTGTATGCTTGATTATCTGAAAACAAAAAGAACAGGGTACAGTCACGGTAGAATCTAATAATTCGATTCACTTGTAGTTGTGAATACGGTGTAGCAGACAATGGGAGGACTGCGGTAGTCTCAGGGATAGTTTGAATGACTTGTTTATATCGTTGATTTTATGGTCTATTTTACCTTTGTAAATATCCGAAGGGTATATAATTTTAGCTAGAAATACGAAATGATAAGGAGCTGGGAAGGATACGTTATGGTCTACTTCAAGTTACTGTTACACAAATCGACAGAATATGTCGAAAACACGTTTGCTGGATATAACTCACAGTTGTGACATGAAAGGGTGGCATTTCTTTATAATCAGACAATCTTATACTTTTTTATGGCTAGTGGGGTGGGACTAAGTCCCTTGTACTGCGGCCACTTCTGGCCTCTTGTACCAGCCCCAGATGATAGGTGAGGGCGATTGTGGAGCAATTGGTGGAATGAAGATTGGCAGGGGAAACCGAAGTACTCGGAGAAAACCTGCCTCAGCGCCACTTTGTCCACCACAAATCCCACCTGATCAGACCCGGGATGGAACCTGGGCCGCCGCTGTGGGATGCCAGGACTAACCGCTTGAGCTATGACGCGGACAACCTTATACTTGAATGAATGTATGAGGAGTAGGCCTCCTCGGCCCTTGCACAGCGATCTACGGTGGTCTATTGTGCTTTACATTATACTTAGTAAGCATATACTTTGAACCGTATTGAATTAGACTCATCATAGTGAAATGATATCTTCAGAAACATAAGGAACTGCTAATTACAAATAAATGAAAACTTTTATGAAAACAGATTTTATTTTACAGATTTCGCATAACTGCTTTGACCGGCCTGAGTTTGAAGTTGCTGAATGTATGTAAATATATAAGCCAGCTTTGACGGTTACAGGGGTAATGCTGAAAAGATGTTATTCTTTAAAACACAGAGGCCACAGGAGGAAACAGCACAAGAAAACATAAGGACGACTAATGTGCTGAAATAAATATTTTTTTTTATGAGCGGATGATGACAAATGGAACGACATTGACATATTTTAATTTGGAACTAATTCGTTATAAATACAGTGGACCAATGTTAGGAATATAAAGAGTTGCCTGATGATGCTCGGGTACGGCCGAAACGTGTAGCAAAGAGAAGTAAATGAAAAATAAAGTTACGTTTGAGACGGAACTCAATGTATGTAAGTGATAGATTAGTGCAACAGAATAATGAAGTACAAAAAAACAGTCTGTGGCCGGTAGTCCGCAAGCGAACTATACCGATCGAGCGACCGCCACTTTTCGGCGAAGTTAGTGCCAAGTTTTTGCGGATAGAGGGTGTCGCGTGGTCAGCGTTCCAGACCTACTATTTCTCACAAAATCTACTAGCGCTGGGAAACACGGGACCTCTGGTCTGTAACCAAGAACTCTGACCACTAGACCACAGAGCCGGTCGTGCAGTATTCTTCAAAATGTTACGGTTTCGAAAACGAAAAAAAAAAATTTATGAACCTGAATCAGTGGTCTAGTTTCGCGTATACGTTTTTTGAAAAGGCCCTATCAAGCACTGGAGAGTACATTCGTTGTTTTCTTCGTGTGTATGTTGCCAGTGTAAGTATGTCAAATGTAAACCTGTTGAAGTCGTGACTTCAGAAAACAGTGCACAGAGTGAAGCAAAAGGTTAGAGATGCGAACAGTACTGGCATGTATAAGTAGACACAGAATATATTAATTTGATTCTAGACTAAATGTGTACCCTTACATTACGAAGCCTAACAAATATAATTATTCAAAGAAACGAAAATCGAGATGATGATTAATGTTAGAATTCACTAATTAACAGGATATTTAGATGTACCCCATATGATTTTTCAGTGACATTCCCGACATTAATGCACGTACGAAATGCATTGTCGCCACTAAACACAAGAACTAACAAAAGCAAAAAATAGAGCCAACTTCCGTGTCAAATAGGCCTGTAGGTTACCTCAGGCATTGGAAAATATCCTGCATAAAATTGGTAAAATGGAATCCATGAAAGTTTAAAGACTGGAGGTGTTTATATGTGGTACAAATAGTAATTGGCCTGATATGCTATTGTAAACATTTAATTTTCCGGTCACGGTAGCCGAGCGGTCTAAGGCATGTACTGTCTTCGCTCGCTTGGAAACCGGGATCGTGGGTTCGAATCCCACTCAGGGCGTGGATGTTTAGTTTGTGTACAGGTAGAGGCCTTGCGACGAGCTGATCACCGGCCCAAGGAGTCCTACCGAATGTGTAAGATCTAGAAAAACCGAAGTGAACGGAGAAGTTCATGGAGGTAGGCCTAGTCCCACTGGGGCTGTAGTGCCAAGGTGGGGGTGGGGGGAAAACATAAGTTGCCAATCGCGGTCGCCGCGCGGTCTAGGTCATGAACTATCTTCGACCTGTCGAACACTGGGGTCGTGGGTCCGAATCCCACTGATGGCATTGGATGCCTGTGTGCGTTATTCTGTGTTTGTGTTGTTCTGTGTGGAGGTAGCGGGCTTGAGACCGGCTGGTCCCCAGTCCAGGAGTCCTATCTACATTGTATAGGATTAAGACACTAAAGAAGCGGCCAAGGCCCAGCAAAGGGCTGTAGAGCCTTAGATAGACAGATAAACGTTTCATTTATGATTCCACGCTCCGTGACGCAGAGGTAGTCCTGATGTTCACTCAGCAAAGTTCAGCTACAGCAATAACAGTTATTCTTTGCAGTATGTTAATAGAGCTAGCTGAATGCAAAGTATTCGCATCGTTGTTTTACTGAAATTAGAAACAGCCGACTAGACTGTCCATCGGTCGAAACAGTAACAAGCCGTTTTCTATCTTGCTTCTCATGTAGTCATGTCGAAATTTTTTTTGCCATGTGCAATAATTTTACGGACGTCCAGCAGATATTTATTGTGTCCTTAATATGGAAGATAGCGTCCTTAACGGAATATAATGAAGTAATTTCTTCATCGTAATCCATAGCCCTGGGTTTCTTATTTCGGAATAAGACGATCCGTTATTCTGCCTCTCCTGGTTAGTATATATATTTCTTGAGGCTATTGAACGAACCGGTTCTATTTTAATTCCTCCAGGTAGACTGACATGTTGCATTCATGACGAACTAAATTCATAATAAGCGCTACCAAGTGCATTTGTATTAGTGGCTGTTATGGTGGATTGTGATTGATTCTTATGTTATTTGACGATATTGCTTCATTGCGTACATTAAATAACATCGACCATGAAAGAAAATGAGGGATGATGAGTAGGTACATATTAGGAAAAGGGGCGTTGTGGCCTGTCTGAAGCTACTGGTCGGCCTCTCGCATGGGTGGCTGAGGACAAACACAAACCCGGAACATCTCCGATACAAGTGCAGAACGTCACTGCTGTGTTACTCTTTTTGGTGAGACGATGAGAATCTCTGGGAATCGATGCTATGAATTATCAAGCGGATATTTGGGAAAACCAGCCACAGACAGCAAATGGACCAGTTTGGTATCGAACTCTGTTTGCGTCTGTTGCGATCTTTGTGCACCAGGATTAAGAACAGCTCCGAGGTCGTAATGACTCAGGTGTCATTTACCTCTCAGAGAAATAATGACTCATTAAGAAAAGTAAGGTAACAGATGTGAAAGAAAGAGGAATTTTTGTATTTGGTTCCAGTGTTAATTTCCGTATAACCGTTTATCGTATTATATATATAATTTATTTTATAGACGATAGAGTTACTTAACGTAGGTTGATGGATAATATTAAGAAGGATCTTAGATAGGATGTGGTGGTATAGACTAGATTGATCTGGCTGAGAATAGGGACAGTGGAGTGCTCTTGTGAACACGCTAATGAACCTTCGTGTTGTATGAAATGTTGGGAAATTCTTGAGTAGCTGTATAAGTGACGGTTTCTCAAGAAGGGCTCAGTTCCATGGAGTTAAGAGTTACGCTTAAAGGCCGTTGTTCAAGAGGAACTCTGTAGAATGTTACAACAGTGGTTTGCTCTATAATTAGGTAGTCAAATTCGTACTTAGGTTAGCATCAGGGTATTAGTATTTCGAAATGTGTAACGATCTGAATTTGAAATGAGACCCAAGTTTCAAACTTACGTAGTGTAAGAGGAATGCGTCATTGTATGCAGCATCCGTCATATTGGAGCCGAGATGGGTTCTGTTTTGATTTGAGGTTCTCATACCAATGGTTATGAACAGTTATGTCTTCTGGGTTGTAGCGCTGTGGAGTCCGTTGAAAGTCAACTGACGTTTCGGAGGAACGTGTTGCCTCCACCTTCAGGGTTAAAGAGTAAGCCAAGCAGGAAAGCAGTATGATACAGACAGCAAGCAAAGATAGAGGCAACGTGTTCCTGTGAAACATCGGTCGACTGTTAACGGACTACTCGGTGTTATATCCCAGAAGACTTAACTCAACTTTGATAGAGGTCACGACCGCTTCGTATTATTTCCAGTTGGAGCTCTGGGCAACTGTGCCAAACGTATTACATGTACTTTCTATTCGATACAAATTATAGATGAGTCGTTTTGTGAATGCGAATTTTTATATATTGTAGAACGTAAACAAGACTGCGTATAGGCCTCATGGGGAATATCTTTTTTATGCCGATGGGCCGAAAGTTTGAGAAAATTATTTATGGTCGTAATCTGTGTTGTGGTCAGGTTTACTCGCAAAGTTGTGTAATTACTAGATGAAAGTATAGGTTATGGCGAAAGATAGGCTCCGTTCTTCACGGACTGCATTGGAATCACAAATATATATCGGTTTGCCAACTGTGTCTCCAGACCATGCAGAATGTATGCCTGTACTGCAGGTGCTTGTTGGAGCACTACATATGCCTTAAGTAAAGTGCTCTCTCAGTGTTGGACTGCCGTGAGAATGTGAACTTCTGCTTGCCTCTACTTGGCGCCCCTTCCTCAAGCCAAGAAATGCCAGTAGGAGTAGATCATACACGGGCAATGGAACCGTTGTCCGGAA